GAAAGAAAGAAAGAAAGAAAGAAAGAAAGAAAGAAAGAAAGAAAGAAGAGAGAGAGAATGATCCAATCTATATAGTGCCCACTTCACCCTAACAACCATACCATTCAAACAGAAATTAACAAGCAAACATGCTTTCTAGTTGTTAAATACATCATATTAAGGCAAATAAGAAACATGGAATATGCCCAGCCTAGAAAAGCATAAACCAGACATCAGAAGCCCTGCATGTAACATGATTCTGTAGCATGTAGGGCTTTATAGATGATAATCAGCACCTTGAATAATGCATAGAACCCCACTGGAAGCCAGCACAACTTGCAAAGTTGAGATGTTACATAGGTTAAGAGGGTATGCCAAATACTATCCACAAATAGTAAATACTAATCAGTTAACATACCAATTAAATATGAGCATACAACATATGCATACATTCTACCAGCTCTCCATTTTACCAACCAATTAAGGATGTAATTTTTAATTTTGCCCCTTATTGCAGATTGTCAAATTGAAAGTTATGCCCATAGGTCACAGATGTTGTTGCAGACATGGTTTACTCACTGCAAACAACAGTAATGTCATATGTTGCTCCTGGCTAAGCAATGACTTGCATAAGTTATGTCTACCTGGATTCTGTTACATGCAGGAACTGTCAATTTAAAACGACTGAGTTTTATTGTTCATATGTCAGCAGTTAGAACGGAAGTGAATATAACTGGCGCTTTGGGAAGGATATTAAAATTGTGATGCAACTAAAGTAGAAAAGAATTAGCATGCAAGACTTCTAGGTTTGGGATTCCCCCTATATTTCCCCACATAATCTAAGCACTCTTTTGTGGTACCTCTGCTGAATGCATTCCTCATTTAATACAATGTGAAAAAGCAGAATTTCCCTACCTTTACATTGATTTCTAGGATTTCTATAATATGCAGCATCTTCAGTGCCTACAACTGGGGAGGGAGAGGGAGGGAATGGCAAGGTGTGAGGGATGGCACGGAATTGTCCCTCCTGGGCTGCCCCACTGCCCACACATACATATGGCAAGAGTTCTAACGATGTTTATTCAAAGCCCTGGTTGAAAAGAATGTTTAAGCAATACCTTCTTAACTATGGTATAACAAGGAGAGGGCCAGCTTCAGCGACAACGGCAAGGTGACTCATATCTCTCCTTAGTAGAGACAAAATTAGCTGCTTCAGTTATATGTAACTATGATGGGACTTGCAAAAGATACTTCATGGAAAACTTAATAATGTGGAACAACATGCGTAGGTCAATCATTTTGAACAGAATCCAGAAAGCCACTGGTAGCCAGTACAACTCTTTCAACATTGAATTATGTGGCACTTTTTGGAAGCACCACTCACCCCCATGCTGCCAGATGCAATTTTGGGTTATCTTTGAGACTACGCAGTGATGAACATGTTGCAGTAATTCCACCTTGAGATTCTTTTGGTATTTCTACTTACGAATGACACATCTTCATCAGCTGAAGCTGATGAAAAACCTCATTCTCACCAGTATATTATGGCTAAGCAAGCAACAGCACTGAATTCAGGCAGAACATTAAGCCGCAAGCCTGGTCCTTAAGATGAACAATCCATATCTGATATTTTTCACACTCTGATGTCCAACTTCATGGAAGCAGCAACAACTTCTTTCTCACCCAAATTCAAGTTTAATTTATTTTTCCACATCCAGTTCTTTACAAATTAGAGATATGCAGAGACTTTTGTGACTTGAATTCAAAGAAAAGGAGAAATATAATTGACTACCATCAGTGTATTAGTAACTATTGAGTTTGAACCTACCCATGATTCTTGCAACAGTACCATATAAATCTTAAATAAAACGGGAAATAAATTACAAACTTTCAAGAACCTCCATGGACAATTCTTTTTTAAAAATGCTTTTTATAAAAAAAAATGCTATGGACATAGTATACTCAGACTTCAGTAACACTTTTGACAAAGTAGACCAAAACCTACATCTTGGCAGCAGCCAAAAAAGCTAATATAATCCTTAGTTGTATAAACAGAGGCATAGAATCAAAATCATGTGAAGTATTAGTACTGCTTTATGAATACTTAGTAAGACCACATTTGGAATACTGCACCCAGTTTTGGTCACCACATTACAAAAAAAGATGTTGAGACTTTGAAAAAAGTGTAAAGAAGAATAAATAAAATGATTAAGGGCCTGGAGACAAAAACACGTAAACATATAAATGATTGCAGGAATATGGGTATGGCCAGTCTAGAGAAAATAAGGGCTAGGGCTGACATGATAGCAGTATTCCGGTATTTAACAGAATAAGAGAGTTGGAAGGGATCTTCTAGGTCATCTAGTCCAGTAGTCACCAACCAGTGGGCCGGGGACCACCAGTGGGCCGGGGACCACTGGTGGTCCGTGAGAAAATTTTGGTGGTCCACAGAGAAATGTCACCCCCAAAGCACCCCCTGAACAGTTGTCCCTGCGATGTCAACTATTCAACTGAAATGTTATAATATATCATGTCTTGCTCAACAGATTTTCAAATTATTTGGTTGTGGTGGATATTTTAATATTTTGGTATACAGTTAACTATTTTGGGCTTCCTTTTGGAATAATAAGTAGTTTGCAAACACAGAAATTCAGTACTAATTTTATCTGAATTAACTGTGTTGTGGATCACACTTGGAATATAAAGCAATGGTTTTCAATCTGAGATTTGTGGGTTTCAACATGCTAAGCTGGAGAATTCTGGGCCTTGAAATCCATACCTCAAGTTTCAGTGGCTTTTTACTCATTGGGACTTACTTTCAAGTTAACAGTGCATAGGGTTTACAGGGCATAGTAGTAATAGTGTTGTCCGAATGGCTAGCTCTTTCTTGCCTCATTGTAAAATGACTTGTGACACAATTATAAGTTGTCCGAATGGCTAGCTCTTTCTTGCCTCATTGTAAAATGACTTGTGACACAATTATAAGGCCTCTCTGCCAGTCATTCCTCTCTCTTAGTCCTCAGCTGAGTGTGTCCTTTTAGCTATATCTGAGCCCTGATATATCATAGGAAGCCCTTGTCTAGTGACCCCAATTGTGATCTGCAACTCAATCATTAAATGAAGCAATTGCTAACTGAAACCATGGTTATGTTTATGATCTTACTTCAGCTTTGCTTTGTTTTCCAACCCATAATAGCAATAGCACTTATATACTGCTTCATAGTACCTTATAGCCCTTTCTAAGTGGTTTACAGTGTCAGCATATTTCCCTCAACAATCTGGGTCCTCGTTTTTCCGACCTCAGAAGGAGGGAAGGCTGAGTCAATCTTGAGCCGGTGGGACTCAAACTGCCAAACTGCTGGCAGCTGGCAGTCAGCAGAAGTAGCCTGCAGTACTGCATTCTAACCACTGTGTCACCTCAGCTAAAGGTTGTAAATAAGGGGATTGATCTCAAAGATACTTTATCATCATCATCATAAGTGCAAACAGTTGCTGTATGAGGCAGTCACTAAATGGAGACTACCTGAACAGTTAAACCATGTGACAAGCATCCTTCAGAGTGGTGTGGTGGCCTAGAGGTGGGGCTCTCACCTCACAACCAGGAGTCTGTGAGTTC